ACCAGCCACTCAGGGTCACGTAGGACCCAGTGCTCACTTTACCCCAAGATGTGGCACATACTTGGGCTCTCACTACCACCCAGCAGAGCTCTCAAAGGTCCCCCCACCCTGCACCTATATACACAGCCAGAGCTTTGTGCCCAGGTAGCTCTCACAGACACTGGCATTTAGAGTCTATCACTGTGGCCACACATCATGGCCTCCCACGTGGACACCCGCTGCCACAGCCTCACACACACTGGTGTGCATGCACACGCACATTTCAGTTACAGTCACACACACACATAGACTTCCTCACACAAACAGCTATGGTCTCACATATGGATGCCATCACACACTCAGAACAGTCGACCTTCCACGCAAACACCATCGTACACCTCCAGAAAGCCAGAGCCCCCAGTCACCCCCAGCCTCTCACACCCCCACACCTGGCAATGGGAAATGCCCAGCTACACACTCAGAACAGTCACCATGCTGGGACCTCAGGTTGCCTAGTTGTGCTTGAGAAGAGGAAGATAAAGTCCATGGTAGCCTAAAGCAGGAAGGAAAAGGAAAGGAGAAACTTTGTTGGTCTCTAAAAGCAAGAAAATAGATGATTATTCTCCAGGCAGCTCCTTCCTCCCCTAACCCTGCTTTCGACAGCGTTAGGGAATGAAGGGAGATCCAGCCCAGTCAGGAGGGGCCAGGAGACCCTTGGGGGAGAGAGATGGTGGCACGGGTAGCAGCAAGAGCCAGAAAGCCCCGAAACCAGATCACCCCTAGGCCCTTACTGCCTCCCGGCCTCACTCCCTCTTCTCCAGGATGAGGATCAGCAGCAGCTCTCAGCCTAGCTATCTGCTGTGTGACCCCGAACCTCTTCAAAACCTCCCTGTGCCCAAAACTGCCTATTGAGCACCCAGAGGTCAGGCCTGGCTGCAGAAAGGGCAGGAGAAGGGAAGCAGATAGGACCTCGACCTCAATCTCCAGACCCCACCAAAGCCTTGTCATCACTATCAGGTCCAAAGAGAGGTGGGGACAGATGCCCAGCAGCAGGAGGGCAGCGGGAAGAGCAGAGTGGGTGCTCCTCTCTCTGGCCACTGAGGAGGAGAGTCCTAAAGGGTCCTTGGACCCTGCAGCCCTGCCCCTCATCACTGGAGGAGCAGCCGCTGAGTCGCTGTCCAAGCAGAGTGGAATCCGGGCTGTGCTGGCCAGGCCCCAATCCAGGAACAATCGGCAATGCTGTTGACATCCTTGCCATTTGCCACTCCAGGTGTAGCTGGAGATCTGAGACCCCTGAAAGGAGCCTGATATGGCTCCACGGAAGCCAGGCAGGGGAGCAAACACCAGGCAGCAGGACCAGAAGAAACCAGGCAGGGGCAATCCCATAGAGCCAGAGACTTGTGGAAAGCAGACAGTGGGCACAACAGAAACCAAGCAGCGGGGTGTAAGGAAACCAGGTGACAGGGCCCCAAAGAAGGTGGGTATTGGGGGCCGAATGAAACCAGGCTGCCTGGACTAAAGTTAGCTAGAAGGTGTGGACAAGTGAAGCCAGGCTTCGGGGATCAAATGAAACCAGGCAAGAGGCCCACAGGATGTGAGAAAAGAAAGATATCAGGAGCTCATCCTCTCTGTCTAGATGTCACCCCCACACCCTGGGCCTCTCCCTGTCGCCCCCTCCCACCCAGACGGTGGTCCCCTCCCCCAGGCCGATGGCCACAGCCAGAGCCCCCTCCCCTCTCAGAGGCCTGGTCCGATTGCAGCCAATGGGCCCCGGCCCCATCCCTGGGACCTCAGGAAGTCCCAGTCCCTCCCACCGGCTGCAGAGGCAGGGGGGCTGGGGGGAGAGAAAGAGAAGAGAAGAGAGACAGCTTGGC